GTGGCCAAAATGGCATAATTAAACACTTTCTTCAAAGTTTTCACGATGTGCAGATCGAGCTTATTTAGGTATTTCTCCGAGGAAAAGTCTTGTTTTCAATGGCAGTATATCGTCTTCTTTAGTACGCCGAAACAAAAATATCTAGCGTCGGGAAACAGTGCGATAACACGCTAATTCCGAGTAACATTGGAAGCGATTCGAAGAAATCGTCCTCAAGTGTTGAACTACTCGGACGATTTTCCGAAACAAACAAAAGCCAAAAGTAAAGAATGTCGGGTAAAACTCGGTAGACTTTTTTTGGGGGGCTAAGAGGTGGTTCGTATTCTGTTTTTACATTTACTCACTCAATAGGACAATATTATGGCTCCGCCTTCATAGGAGGCAGTAACCATTAAAACTGTCAAAGTGACCCGAATAAGAGGAGGCCTGGAATCGTGGCGCGTTTCAAGTTTACCAGACTTCAGTGGTCTTTCTAATACGCGGCGTTTGCTTTTGGGGGACTAGGGCGAGAGTAGTTTAAGTCCCTTTTGAGTTTCTCTCCCTCTTTAATTAATCCACGTGTGTACCAATTTGACGTTGAACTGAGAAAACGTAACTTTCCAATGCCAGAACGAAGCCTGATCAATCTAAATTAGATATTCGACCACGTGACCATGACTTAAATGCAAATTTAGCGAAAAAAAAAACCATTTAATTCCTCATCAACAACATGGCTGTCAAAAATGATAGCGGGAAGATACGAGCTGGGGAGATATCTTCCTACCAGTTTTACTTACAAAGCGAAGAGGACGATTTTGGTGGATTTTTACCAGTCGAAACCAGTGTTGATGAATTATACCCTCCCGTATGTCAGAGCTGTAACAGGGATGAGTGTTGCGTGTTCGGATATTTGATAATATTATTTCTTTTCAGCGGAGCAGCTGCAGGAGTTGGATTGTTTGTATTCGTTTGGGAATTTTCACAGAATACGAAGGAGCGGAATTTCTTGGAATTATTAGCACCCACACTTGGCCTTGTTTTGGCGGTTTTCGCCGGTGCGATGTGGGTTTTAGCCGCGATCGCCTGTGTTGGCACGATCAAACAAAGCACTAAAGTTCTTCACATAATAACAATAGTTTTTAAAGTTCTTTTGTTACTCGAGATAGCCCTGTCTTCAGTGGCGTTTTATTATCAAGTTCAAGTCAAAGCAGAGACGAGTAGATGGGCTGAGTGGATGTCGTTTATTCGCCATTATCACGAAGATCCTAATCTACGAACCACGATGGATTCAATTCAAGCACGACTGGGATGTTGTGGTTTCAATAGCTACAGAGATTGGGATGAAAACGTTTTGTTTTCATGCTCGTCAACACGTTTGAAAACCTGACCTCTTCCTGTTTCGTGCTGTAACGATACCGTGGAAAAAATCAAATGCGGGTACGAAATGCAACATAACTCTAATGGCGAAATCATCAAAAAACAGCTGCAGAAGTCAGTTTACACGAAAGGTTGTCTGATGAATATTCAAAACTGGTACAAATACAATCTGGTCCTTATTTCAATAAGCGCTGTTTTATTGGCAGTAGTTCAAGTAGTTCTTATTTTCGCAATTAGCCGCCTCGTTCGTCGAATTAAAGATGAGAACATAGAATATTCTGAGCCGACAAGCGAGGAACAAGTTATTTCTCTACGCGGAGAACACGTACAGGAAAGCATCATGATTATAGTACGTGATGAAAAGGTTACAGCTGATAGAATTCATAGCCTGAAGGCTGTCTTGAGGACCATTGTTCGCTGGAGTACAAACGATTCTACAAGAGAAGAAAACATTTAAACACAATTGCTTACGGTTGATGAATTTTGAAATAACAAGTGATAAATTGATTTTCACAGGTCAATGTAATTAAGTTTAAGAAAACAAAGTCTGAAAAAAATTCAGGCGGAGAGGTTCGGACCCACACCTTCCAGGTACTAGTGGGGCGCTACTACCAAACCGAGCCATGAAACAGGCTAAGGTTAGGAGCGAGAAAATTTTAAGCGGTCATTCGCTCTATTAAGATGAATAAAAGGGGCGAGTTTGGGTGCTGCGTCGGTGAAGGTGTTACAAGATAATCCGGTTTAATAAACTGGGTGATAAGGTAAATTGGCCACCGTAAAGAGTTTATAAAGCTGACGTCTCGAGCTTTAGCCCTCCGTCCGAGCGAATCTTTGCCGCAATAAATTAACTGCCTCGCTCCCAAGTCCTCATAACTCAGTTGTCAGTGGCGCTTAACTGGCAGTGAGTGGAACAGATTCAATTTACATCAAAACTTGAAATTCTCTATTTTCTTTTGGCAAATGCCCTAATCGCAATAAACTTGTGAGAATCAGTTTGTCACCAACATTCGGCCTCATGGTTCAGTTTGGTTGTAGCGTTCAACTAGTATCTGGAGGGCGCGGGTCCGAACCTATTCGAAGTCTGAATTTTTTTGTCATTTGCTATCTCATTCATCTCCATGCATTTATTAAATTATCTATAGTATCTTAAAAATTGATCCTAAAACTTACATGCTGGTCTTTCGTAAAGCAGTCTTTATCTTTATTCATTCGATTCCTAACCATCAATATTCCCTTCGGGCTTCTTCCTGCCTTTTTTTCAAAGTCTGTCTTCCTTCAACAAAAATTTCATCCAAGTTTGTTTAAAATCAAAATATGAGGAATAATTACCTCCAATTAAGCGTGACGAACAATCCAAGATTACTTTGGTTTTGAAAATTTGCGCTACAGCTTTTATCGGTTACCAGTCAGATTCAACGCTAAAGGCATTCACGCGAGCGCTCTTCCGCGCTTCAGGTAGTGGGCCTTGTTTATTCTTCTTCTTTTTTTCGTTCTGGTTGGTTGTCAGATGTTTGCCTTTGTTGAAATTAGTGAGTGTCATTACTTTGGTTTAGGTTTAACGAAACTTGATCGAAAGGCGCTCTTATATGGTAGAGATTGACCAGCTGCTGCAGGGGTAACAATCGTTCATCTGACCGATCGTTCAATCAAGGTGACCCTTTCCGTTCCATAACCTGTGCGTAAGTCATTTTTAGAGTCAAGTAAGAATCTGATTTTTAGGGTGGTTCGTGCAGAACTACCCTCGCTCGGAAGATCTAATCGCTCAGTTGACTGCAATGAGTGTAACTAGTATAAATAATAAACACCAGCCATTTTACAATGCAATTCCCGAGATTTGATTGGTTTACAAGCCATGTTATCCGAGCTTATAACCCATACTTTCTTTCTAGCACTGACTGAAACAATCCTTTCCTTTTAGTCGGCAAAAACTGACAGGGTACAGCTATCTATCATCTTACATACGCCCGACGCGCTGTAATGGAATAATTGTTGATTATTTCAAGTGAGCTCCCAAGTTAACGCCGTCAAGGATCTTGCAGACTAAGGGCGTTTTCGTTAAGACAGTCTTGTTCTTGTTTTTCACTTTCTAGACACTTTCAAGTTCTTGATGATAGTCTTCCTCTGTTAGCCCTTTCTTGGGCCCCAACCTCCCGAAGCCCTTAACCGTTTGTACACCAGATGGCTGGAAAACGCACTCTTATGAAATCTGCGAATAATCCGCTCATTTACAGTTGTTAATTTATTCTCAATAGTCTTTAGCTAATAATTTATCTTTTTCACAGGATCTTTACCATGCTTTATCTAATTTCGAACGAAACATTGAGTTACTATCAAAAATAATCTACATGATAACCACCTAAACGCTGTCAAATGCAGTCGAAAACCCGTCACAAGAAATACTATAAATTGAAAATACTGGACATGACTAGATTGTGTGATATTTAAAGTCAAAGTTGAATAAATTCAAATGAGACCGAAAGCTCATATAGAGTGATTTTCAATATTAAGTGTCGTTGGTAATCCGGGACCGCATCGGTTTTGCTTCACTTCGCTCTGTGACTGGTCCAGAAAACTCGCGCCACTCTTTCAACCAATCAGATGCAAAACTGAAACCAATCACGACTTGGTCGCGTGCGTTTTCCCACGCTTTCGGCAGTTTGCTTCTATGTTTTCACTTTGAGTTTTTACGCCATGGTATTTTTCTTTCTTCTCATTGGTCATTGTAATTACATTAGTTTTGGTTTTACGACAGTTAATCAATAAGCGCTCTAAAATAAGTAATCTCTTATGTTTCAGTAATTGAAATTCCCTTTTATCACTTGCATCCTCAAGAGTTGTCAAACTAAACCTTCACAATAGCTTAGATCTAACAATAAAAAGCGAATACTACCCAACACGACAAAGTATACAACTTCACCCCTTTCACCACCAAGATCTGAGCGTCATTTCTCCGATATGACTACTACAAATTTTTCTACATTTTGGTTCTAAGAATTGGTTGCATAATCAAAGTAATAGCTAGAATTGATTATTGCCGTATTCTCATAGCCAACCGATTCTAACTATATATTAAGATTTAAGGAGGAGGCAAGATCTTGGTCACGGGTGAGAGTCGAAGTTTTT